TCAGACCATATTTGAGAAAATTGGAAGAATTGAAGTTCTTAAGTGATTTCATGATTTTGATGCTAAATTCGTAGTTGTTGATGTTATTTTGGCAATTTACTCGCACTAGCAAGTCCGTAGGGAGGCAGTGTGCATGTTTGGTTTAGAGCCCTGATGGCTCGGGTGAGTTTCGGGTAGGTTCCGGGGTGTTTTGGCTTAGGAAATCACTGTTGTTGCATCAGTTCTGGTGTAACCGCACCTGCGAGTCAAGCACCGCAGGTGCGAGCTCGCAGGTGCGAATAGTGGGTTGCATGTGCGGTCCAGCCTCTCGCAGATGCAGACAAGGTCCCGCAATAGCGGTTCCGCAGGAGCGTATCTCCCCTCGCAGATGCGACCCCAGCGGGCCTAATCATTTCCGCAGAAGCGGTATGTTTTCCGCACGTGCGAGTACGCAGGTGCGACCCAAGGACCGCATGTGCGAGAGTCGGGCAATGGAATCTTTTAAAACAAAACTTCAACGTTTTCTTTTTCAAAATTTCATAAAGATAGAAGGCCTAGGGCGATTTTCTCAAGAGATTTTCTTCCCAATTCATAAGTAAGTGTTCATTAACTGATTACTTTCAACTCTCTGATGTTTTTCATCAACTTTTATCTAATATTCTAGGGTTTAAATGGTAGAAAATTGGGGATTTGGGTAGAGTTAGGGCTTTTTGAATAATTGGAATTTAGACCTCATTTTGGGGTTGGATTTCGAAACTAATTATATAATCGGGCTCGTGGCTGAATGAGTGATCGGGTTTTGATCCAAACCTCGTGTTTTGACCAAGCAGAGTCGGGGTCAATTTTTGACTTTTTGGGGAAAATGATAGAAAACTTATAATTAATCATTGAGTATGAATTCTTTAGCATTTATTGATGTTGTTAAATCAATTTGGACTAGATACGAGTTGTTTGGAGGCAAATTATAAAGGAAAAGCGGTGTTTGAGGCTTGAGTTGGCAGTGGAAGTTCGAGGTAAGTGTTTGGTCTAACCTTAGCTTGGGGGATTAGGAGTTGTGTCCTATTTTCTACGTGTCACTTGTTGAGTACGACGTATATGCATGGTGACGAGTATCTATACGTTGGTGTCAAGCATGACCGTGAGTCTTAACTTGAAATTGTTGTGTTCTTAACAAATACTGCGAATGCCTAAGTTGTTGATTCTCTGTATTATGCAAGGATTATGATTATTCTCGTGGAAATTACTTATGATTGAATATTGGTGCTAGTTGAGGAAGTTAGATGTTGGAATAAGTTTGGTTATAGCTAATTTTTCCTTGCCAGAACGTATTTACTTATATTGTCGATTCCCTTGCCGGGATAGTGTTGTTTCTTAACTGGTCCCTTACCGGGACTCTCTTTGTGATTGGTGTTGAACTGTGTATGTGGATCGGGTTGCACGCCGCAACAATATTATATTTGGATCGGGTTACACGCCGCAACAATATTATGTTTGGATCGGGTTGCACGCCGCAACAATAATATGATTGGATCGGGTTGTACGCCTCAACAGTGATAAATGATATAAATCGGGTTGTACGCCGCAACAGTGTTTTTATGATTTGGACCGGGTTGCGCGCCGCAATAATAGATAATAAAAGTGCTTATTGGTTGGTTACGAGTTCCTTATTCTTTTGCTGTGGATTCTAAATTGTTCTTTATGTTTTCTTTTAAATTACTGTTGGTAAATGATATTCCCCCGCAACATGTCCCCTCCCATCTTTACTCGTTTATTTCTTTTTTATTTTCCGTTGTATATTATATAACTATACAGGTTTATTTGGTAGTTTGGTCCTAGCCTCGTCATTACTTCGCCGGGGTTAGGCCAGGTACTTACCATCACATGGGGTCGGTTGTGCTGATACTACACTCTACACTGTGTGTAGATCACGGAGCGGCAACTTTTGGACCATAGCTTTGGGTGGCTGCCTTCAGTCCAGTTAGAGATCCCGAGGTAGTCCCGCAGGCGTCCACAGGCCCCGGCGTTCTCTTCTACCTTTATATTTTGTTTTCATTTACTTCAGAGACAGATTGTATCTTTCTTTCCAGACAATTGTTTGTAGTATTCGTAGACGGTCCGTGGTATTGTGACACCAGTTCCGGGTAGATATGTACTTGATATTGTCATACTTGTTTTTGGCTAAGTTATCAGATTTATGTCTTCTGTATGTATTTAATTATTGCTAATATTTCACTGTTGATCGCTTGTTAATTTAAACTGTTAAAAAGGGCTAAATAAAAGAGTTAGTGAATCTATAATACTCGGTTTGCCTAGCTTTCACGAGTAGGCGTTATCATGACTCCCGAGGGTGGGAAATTCGGATCGTGACATTGAAAACTTATTAAAGTACATAATCAATTGTGAAATAATACCCATTATTCTAGTGTTTGAATTTACACACAATTAATTTTGGCTCTTATCTTATTAAGCGTGTTATTGACAGATTTTCTTATTAAAAAATTTGAATGTTGCAGAGAATGATTGGTGAATTTTATTCTTTAAAGTATGTCATTTTCTCTAATTTAATATTGCAATTACTCAATTAAATGAATCGCATAAAAGCATGCTTTAACTACTAGAATAATGAAATAAATTAATGAAATAAAATTTTTAATATTTATGTTGCAAGGCAAGAGGAAGAGGTCTTCCTAATGATCTTTTATCAAAAAGTATGTATTTTTTCTCATAGAAATTTTCAGCTTCTCAATATATAACTAACAATTTAATTTAATTTATTTGTGTAATTAGTAGTTTTAAAAATCTATGCAACTTTTATTTTAATCTTAGATTTTTATTTTTATTAGTCTTGGACTTTCTTAATTAGATAAAACTTATATAACCTCCATTGGTAATATAAAATTAACTATACACTACATAGATTATTTGCTACAAATAAACTAAATTTATGAATTAAACCAAATGTACTTTATTGGCGATTTTCTTTCTCATAAAAAGAGGGTTAATATCTACATTTGTTATTAACTTGATAATTTTTTTTAATTTTATTGATGTTTCTTAAATCCCGCGCGTAAATTTACTAGTGATACATTAATTTGGAATTCACAAGGAATACAAGATTGAAAAACGTGCTAGCCGATTTAAAATTTATCTTGGTTATAATTTGAATTCACTCGATTTTTTTTAAATCAAGAAAAATAAGAAATTTAGTGAAGACTTAAGAACATAATGCTGGGGCTTACCGAGACTAGTTTCTTGCTAAGCCATAACGTAAAAGTATAAGAAGTTCTACAAATAAGACAGCTACGTACAACAATAATAACATCCCAGTATAATTCCACAAGAAGACAACTACATAAAAAAGGAAAAAAAAAGTAAAGAAAAACAACTTCATGCTGACTTTCAAACTCCTTTAGTTCAAATTCAAAATGCTCAGGTTAAAGTTGTTTTCAAGTGATTCTTTTTTTTTCCTGCGTAAGGAGACCAAAAAGATTTAAAAAAAGGAAATATGAACACATATTTACGAAAAATTTTATGGTATGCCTCACACAACTGTCATAACTGTATGAGACATCTTTTTATCTCACAAATTTGTGAACGTATATTTTGTACTTTTGAGTCCACAAAATTTTGGTTTAATAAATTGTGAGACAAAAAAAAGGTCTCATACAACTAGAGTCAGTTATGTGAGGTACAAAATAACTTTTTTTTTCAAATCTATTGTATGAAAGACTCACATTTATATAATTATTATCACAATCATATATACTTAAGTAGCGTAAAATTTAAAACTTTCAATCTATTAAACATTTTTTTCTCTTCTTCTTTTATTTGGGCATAGTCTTATTGTTTACTACCGAAGGATAAAGAAAAGAAGAGTGCAGACCAATTAAGTTGGGTTAGATATTCTTACTTAAAGATTAGAAGATAATCAGAGTAGGAGTGCAAAATAGATTTTACCTAACTATTAGGTATTTATATAAAGATCAGAAGCTCTAGAGAAGATTTACCCTAATAATTCTTTTAATTTTCTTTCTTAAATAGAATGACAAATATCTATAAAATCTATCTATCTATCTATATCTATATTATTATAAAAACAGAAATAATTTATGCTAAATATTGAACAACTAAAATATCCTCGAAATATTGATCGACTTTTATGCCCTTAAATATTTGTATAATTTAAGGATCTAATTGTAAATTATTTAATAATATAATTTTTTTCGATTTAAACTACACATACACCGGCCCTACAAAGTTGATCCTACTTGGATTAGAAGTACACGTCCATAATTTTCTCTTTTTTTATACGTAAAATGCTTATGTGCATATAATGAAATTGCATACATGGAGCTATAGCCTCTTTTTGTATTATGTGATTTGTTTTATTTAATTTTTTGTATTGTTTTATTGCTCTCTAACAAAAATTGAGCCATTATAGGTTGAAATAGGAAGAAAAAAAAAGCTAAATAAAAAGCTTAAAGTTTTGACTAAGCCAACCATAATTAAATTATTCATCTTCGAAGCCTAAAAACTTACATATAACTAATTATTTAGAATTCAAAGATCCTTAAATGCAGTAAAGTTTTATTATACCTTTGTAATTGATGGAGTTTTATACCTTAAAAAAATTATTCCCTTGAATAAGTAATAAATGAATTTTTCATGTACAAGAAATTTATTATATGTACGAGTCTTTTCAAAATTTATAGTAAAAACAACTAAAGAGACATACTCCTATATTTATTATTCTTTCTAAAACAAGCCGTATTCGACCAAGAACAAAGATAGAGAGGATACAAGCATGACGAACTATACTAAATATGTTCTGAATATTAATGCGATTATAAATATTACTATTTTTATACAAAATTTCTAGTAAAGAATAATAATACTAATAGACCCCGTAGCACGTGTATAAAAACTAATCAAAATAAAAGGATCAACTGCAAGCTTGTAGCTAAATTCAACTAACAAAACCTAACCAGGAAACAGGAAATAATACTTTTACAGGTCATCAAAATTATATACGGACCAAAAAAGTGATGAAAGACAAAAGAGAGTAGTTCGAGATAACACAAATCCATATTAACCGCTTTCCTTTCCAAATAAATTACACATATATTCTCTCTTCTCTCTCGTTTTCCATATTCACCAGATCGCCAAACCCTAATCTGAAGCAATCACCGATACCCTTTTCAATTTATTATCTCAAAATTGCTTCTGAAATTCGCCGATTCTTCCAATCGGATACCGAGTGTTTCCATCTCTTTTTCGTTGCTAAATTCGGGTAATTTTCTTTTTCTTTTTCTTAAAATATTTCATATCCTATATCTTACGATTTTTTAGGATTTATGTGATTCGTAGCTTTGATGAGGTTTTTTTCTTGCAAAATTGGTACTTGTTTAAATATTTTTGGTACTTGCGTGAAAATTATCGGTATTATTCAGAGTATTCAGGATTACTTGTTTGGATTAGTTGGTGGATGGTAATGTTTGTTTCAATTATTTATTTTCTTTTTGTTAAAACTAATTTTGATGTAGAGTGAAGTGTTATTTTTTCCCTCAAAATAAATTCAGATGATGGATCGTTGTCTAATGGGTCGATTTTGAAAATAAAAAAATACATTTATGTCATGTTTTTCAGTGTTATGAATGTTAAATTTGATGCAAATCTATTGTAGTTCTATTCGAGCCTGGTTCCAGATAGGATATAAAGATTCAGTAATCGTCATTTGCAGGGTGATGGACATGATTTCGGATCAGTTAATGGATTTTGGACTTAGTTTTTTGTTCTGTTTGGTTGTCCTTAAAAGCTATGTAATTCTTGCATGAAATTTTGTCTTCAAATATTTTGTATGCATTAGGCTTTTAGAGAATAGAGCTTCATGTTAGTTCATTGAGTGTACGAGATTGAATGTCTGTTTATATGTTAAGGGAGATTGATGCAATACCATGTTCTAGTGTTTCTGGAGCTTCATTTCATTTTGCTGAGTTTTAGTTTGTACTGATCTTTATTTTTTAATTGAACAGGGATTATGGCTCTTGCGCAGACTTACTATTCACAAGGTGGCCCTTTTCGTGGAGACTCTAGGTCGTTTTATGGTAGAAACCAGATTAGTGGAACACATTCCTCTGCATACAACCATTATGACACTGTTGTTAGTCATCTTTTTAGCTCTAATGGTTTCCATGACTTGAGTAGAAATTTTAGCGAGTATAGCTATGGTTATGATAATTTCGTAAAGCTTGAGGCTGAACCGTCTTTGAAGAGGAGGAAGTGTTCAGCTTCTGGTTGGGAAAGCAGTGACAGGTACTCCCAAGCAACCAATGCATGTAAAGATGTTCCTTCAAAGCAGCCAAACACATGCTATAATGTTCCTTTGAGGAATTCCAGAGCGTACGATGATGCATATTCAGCCTGTAACAACAATTCAGCCATTACTACTAGTACTTCTAGACCTCGTTCTGATGCAAGCGCACCCACGAGCTCTAAGCGCGACCGCTCATGGCTTGAGGATACTGAAACTGATAATATCTTTATGTCTAGGGAGCAAATAGATAAGTGCTCCCCATCCAGGAAAGATGGTATTGATGCAATGCATGAAGCACATTTGCGATACTCGTATTGTGCTTTCCTCCAGAACCTCGGAATTCGCCTGGGCCTGTAAGCTCCTTTTGGGATTTAATAAATTGTATCTTACTCATTTTTTCATTTTAGTTCAAACAGCCTCTGAAACTTTTGGGGCTTGCCTCTCCTAGTTTTTTCAGGAGGATTGCCTGCATAGGTTGCTTGATCTTACGAATTTGTTATCTGATGGAACTAATAATTATTTGTACCTTCTTGCAGGCCACAGACCACTATTGGAACTGCCATGGTTCTATGTCACCGCTTCTTTGTGAGGCGATCACACGCATGTCATGACAGATTTGTGAGTTCGTTGTTTTATGTACTAAAATTTGCTATATTTTTGCTCCTCTAATTTTTCCGCTTCATCATGTCCTATGCCTGGCTAATTATTAGTATTTTAATGCTATTTGCAGTTGGTTGCTACTGCTGCTCTCTTTCTTGCGGCGAAGTCAGAAGAGACTGCACGGCCTCTCAACAATGTTTTGAGGGCCTCATGTGAAATTTTCCACAAGCAGGATCTTGCAGTTTTATCATATTTACTACCTGTGGTTAGCACTTCTGCTTTGTCTTTGTGCATCATTGATCATCATAATATCCTTCGATTGGAAAATTGTGAATTTTTTAACATACTTCTAATGCATATGGTGCTCTTTGGCAGGACTGGTTTGAGCAGTACCGTGAACGTGTTATTGAAGCTGAGCAGATGATACTGACCACTTTAAATTTTGAACTGAACGTGCAACATCCATATGAACCTCTTACATCCACCCTTGAAAAATTAGGGCTTTCTGAAACAGTATTGGTGAATCTAGCACTGCATCTTGTCAGTGAAGGGTAAGTTGATCAATCTCCATTATGATTGATAATGTGGTTCTGAAATCACAGTTGATTTTTGTTGGAACCTTTTGTTTTATTTTGGCATTATAGTTTCTTTGCTAGAGGTTGTAGATTCCCCTAATAATACTAAATTGTTGATCAACAGGGATTCAAAGTTTCATGGTTATCTGGATGATAAGATTTCGTCTTACTTCTGACTCCTTTTAGATTTACAACTGCTTGTAACTTGTGTAAATATGGTTTTTGCTCTCCCTTGACTGCTCTAGCTACTACCCATTCTGGCTTGTGATATTGATCTTTTGGATTGCCATATAATTGCAGGGTCTATAGAAGGATTAGCTTGATCGTCTGTATGATATTTGCTGGCGGTTGATATGCTGTGCATCAAATGTTTTGTTTTACCGTCTGAAGTTAAAACTAGCCATTTCTTGTGGATGCTTTTCCATGCTGACATCTTAATAGTATGGCCATTGACCATAGAAGAATGTCAGAGATGCTCGAGAAGTTTGCCATGATACTTTATGTTTTTCATGCTCAAATGGAACAACTCCATGTGGAGTCCTCATGCACTTTGTCTCTTCATGTAGCCTATTCCTCAGGTGTCCATGTAGGATACCAATTATTCGGACAGAGTATTCTATAATTGTTGGTAGTGTGTTCTTGACTGCCTAGTGGTGGGGCATGGGTAGTCTGGTTTTTGGAACTGGTGAATACAGATTTTACAAGTTCTCAACTTCTCATCTTGCTGGAGCAAAGAATTATTCCTAAAATATGATATAAAACAGATTAACATCTTGAAGGATTAGTAATCTTTGTGGTAGGACAGGTCTGCGTAGACTATCGTTTTCTGTGTGATAAGTTGGAAAGATTATCATGCCTATGTAATTAGTGGTTCTTGTACAATTTCTTGTTTATACCTCGACGGCATTGTAATTGTCCTACCTCTATTACTAAAGGATCCATTTGGTTCCCAGACTCCAATTGGTGCTCTCTCTCTCTCTAGAATAACCATAACGTTCCTACTTTTCTTCTCACCATCTTGATCTTCTCTCTTTCGCTACAGACACATACTGAATCCGGTTTTTCTAGTTATGCGGCTTGTTATGCACATGTGCATTCCATAGGCACACTTGTAGCAGAATAAGTTACTGGCAGGATAGTTCATCGTCCAATTAACAGATAAATAAGCAACTGTCACCTGCATTTGTGTAGACCCTGCTCTATTCCTTGCAAATAGCATCAATTGAATGATGGTGGAGGCTTGATTTCTGTATTTTTTCCTGGTTCTGTTATTTTTGATTTCTTAAAAGTGATCTGATGATTCATATTTTCCATTTGGACACGTAACCGACTCAGAGGTACAAGCTGTCATTGCCTGGATGCTGTATGGCTAGCGCCCAAAAACAGTTCATTTAAGTGGCAATGATTCCTACTGGGAAATCAAGTAGTGGTGTTAAATGTTAGTGTTTTACTTCTGGTTATGTGATGGAACTCTATATTGAAAGTCCTACTGCAATCACTAGCACCAACAAGATGGGCTGGCAAAGTTGATGACACCAAGTAGTTTTTGGGTTAATGAAATGACGTGTTTCTGTGGTTTTTGCTTTTTCCCCAGCTACTTGATAACTTCAACTCATTGTCCTAAGTTTTATTTATGTATATACCCACACACATATTTTACGTATAACACACACACATATATGCATATATAGTCAAAACGTCATTATATTTGTTACTTATAAGAAGTACAGAGGTCATTATATTACTTAAAAAGTATAACACTCACATAAATGCTTGTTCTTTCTTAGACCAAGTTCATTGTTCGGAGCATTGACCTTCTCCTAAGTGTCTCGTGGCAAGCACTTGTAATGCAGAGAGCATTGCTATGCTGAGGTGGAGCTGTAATGTATAAAATTTACTCATTATGGTTTGTTATCTATGTACCTATATATTACTTTTTGAAGTTTGAGGACCACAGTGGCTTGAAATCTTTTTTATGCTTATCAAACTTTGTACTAGAAATTTTGTTCACTTTATAAAGTCAAATTTGAAGCTCTTTCAAAACTAATAATTTCAGAGACAACATACACGCACAATATATATATATATATATATATATACACACACACACACAGAAGAGGCGTAATTTCTGAAAGTTATAGGATGACTTCTCTCTTTTTTTATTGATACTCTTTTGGAACTCATTATGAATTAAAGGGCTGTAACATTCAAGTGTTACTTCAAATGAGAAATGGTTTCTCTGTGCCTTCTTTTTTCTCCTTTTGGCTCGCTAAGTGGATTGGGCAGCATACTTTCGGAGATTGTGGGATGCCTGACTGACAGAGACCGTAGTTGGGGAAAATGCCTACATATTGTTGGATAGTGTAGTTGTAGAGGGCACTGATTTTCCAAATGTTAGTGTCTTCCCAACATCTAACAGAGGTTAGCTAATTTTTGGGTGTCCTGTTTATGTTTTTAGCAATAACTTTCTGGCAGAAAGGGTGACACCTGTTTACTGTGTCATTCTGTTAGCTCCTTCATGGTAGATATGAGCAAATAAGTTTCTGCTCAAATATACTACAGTATGAGTGAAACTTAGAGTGAGGATCAAAGCTGGCAAGTTCACAAGTTCTATTGTCTTTCCTCTGGGTATGGTAGTGAAAAATAGTGCAACAGTTGTTGCTTGTGTCTGTCTTGTTTTGGTATATGAGGTACATATATTTTTTGGGGTCATACTGCAGCAGCGGAGCCGGAAGTAGGAGTTGGTGCTATCTAGATGGGTACAACATGTTTATTATATATTTCATTCTCTCAACATTGTGCAGAAGATTCTTGGATTTTTCCAACTCGGTTGCTGCTTGCTTAGTTGGTAAGAGAAAGTTGCCTCGGCTTGCTCTTTTGGCTTTTCCACATGACTCAAAACAATTGTTTAATGAATCTTTTAAATGTGTTAGACTTGTATTCTGTTCACTGTTTGGCCAATGTACTTTCTGAAAATTTATGGATCTCATGCTGTTCTGCAAATGTAGCTTACAAAGGACATGTGTTGCTGCGGATGGTTTGTTTGCCTATCTATATAGTTTTTGGGGAAGTTGATTTTGTGTAGCATTAGTCATCTCCTATTCTTAGTAGATTTCCTTTTGCAGGCTCCGAAGTTCACTCTGGCTTCAGTTCAAGCCTTACCAGATAGCTGCCGGGGCTGCATATCTAGCATCAAAATTTCTGAACATGGATTTGGCTTCACATCATTCTATCTGGAAAGAGTTTCAAACGCCCCCGAATGTGCTTAGAGGTACACATTTATATCCCCAACATAAAGTAATAGCTAATTATTGGCTGCAATACTTTGGCAAAAGATTTGATCCTGATTTATTGAGAGCGAGTTTCCTTTTCCGCATCGTAGTAAGAACTATTTGGATTGTAGTTTCTCCAATTCTGACTTTTCTATAGACATTTTTTAATTTGGGGGGGGGGGGGGGGTTTTTAA